ACTCCTGTCTCGGACTCTTTTTTAAAAACATCCAGACACACTCCTCTAGCCAGTCCAGGACCCTCTCCCCCGGAGCCCCCTGCCTCCGCCGCCCCCTCTCCCCTCCCCCGGAAGGGCAGGGTGTGGCCGCCAGGACCGTACTTGCCCCCATTACCCCGTTAGCACGGTTCCCTCCAGTGCGGCCAGGACCCCAGCTCACACCCACCTGGTGCTGGGTGTGTGCGGGGGGTGCTGAGGACAGGGGAGCAAATCAGTGCGTCCGTGCCCCACGGCCGGCGGCGCTCTCTTCCCAGCGCCCAGCACACACCGGCTCCAGTCTCCGATCAGCTGGCGGCGTAGTGACGCACAAGTTGCGATTGCACCGCCCAGGGCCAATCACCGCCTACTGGTGTGCAGCGTGACCACACCCACTCGGGGGCGCCAGCCCTTCGCCCTGATCCCGCCTCTCCGGCTGTCTTAGCTCTGATTGACAGGGAGGCCATCCCTTTGCCTAAGTAGAGTTGCACTAAGCCACGCCCACCAACTCAAGAGCTAGCCAATAGGTGAAAAGGTGTGGCTCAGCCCTCCGCTAGGCTACTTGCTTTGAAGAGCGCTACGTCAAACCAGGGGCCGACCGAGCAGCAGGAAGTAAAGGCGTGTGTGTTTGCTGTGCATTCTGGTCCGTGTAGTTCTCGAGCTGACACCCCGTTCCCAGAATTCAGAGCGCTCTGTGAGTTGGCATTTTTAAATCATCTCTGAATCCATCCCCGGCGAAATCCTTAAAGGGCTACAGCCCCTCCTTTTTGGAGCCGTGAGTGCTTCTTTTAGACAACCCCAAAATGGATTCGCTGACCTCTGCAGGAGGCTCTCTAAGGAAAAGTGGAGCAGGCGAAGCAGCAGGAGTGGGCAGAACTGAAGGTGGAAATCAGTCCCCAGGGCAGCAGACTCTGCCACTGGACGGGAACTCCTGAGGGCTTTTGGGGTAGGGAGGACTGCCCGCCTCACCAAGCCCCAGCTTTCACTGGAGAGATCTAGTCCACCCCTCCTGGGGGTGGGGGTGGGGGTGGGGGTGGGATGAAGGCTTCCTGATCAGGGGACTTTTCTTGGAGATGTCTGGTCCCAGTCGCAGGGATAGAGCCGCTTCCTAACAAAAGATTCATACTTTTTCGCGGCTGTGAAGCTGGGGAAGTCCCGGCCGCGCCGAGGAGATCGCTCTTATGGTCCTCCCAGCCCTCGACCCTCCCCCAAAGGCCCTTAATAAAATGGTTTGCTTACCCCATCCCTTCCCCCCTCCTCACCATCCCCCCCCCAAATAAAAAAGATTCATAGTACAGTCTTCACCTGAGGGTAGATGGAAGACTTCTGGTCAGAAACTAGGGGATGGCCGTGTCAAAGTACAACTGGCCGCAACCCCATCCTCTGCCTTAATACCCTCATTCAGTACCGCCCTTCAGAAGCTTTGCACTGACTCAGACCTACTTAGGGAAGAGATTTCAAAGGCAGAGACCAATGAGGAGGCTGTTCCTTCCCTCGGGGGCCAATCAGAGCTTAGAGGGGCGGGGGATGGGCAAAAACTGAAAGGAACCCAGTGACTTGGCAAAAGCTGCTCCACTGCCTATTGAAAGGGGCAAGTGTGGGGCCCACCCCGTAGCATCACTCCTCCGCCCTTCCCCCTTCCCAGCTGAACCCACACGTGTAGACTGGGATCCATGACTTTTCCACGAGCTCCAAATTGGGGGTGAGGTTCACTGAGCTGAAAGGATTTGGCTGGAGTGCGAGACAGTTCCTTCTGTATTCAATACGGGCTCTGCCAAGCGATTGCTCTGGTTTCTAGGAGCACCACGATTCTCGACTTGTGTTCAGAACATTGTGCCTTTAAGGAAACTTTCTGCCTTCCACCCCGGTAACAGCTGACTGCTGGAAAGTGTGACCTCAGGGGACAAATCAGCTGTTACCACATCCTCCTCTTGGCCTGCCCTGCTCCATCTGATGACTCTCTCCTCCCCCACCACCGGCGGGGAGGGAATGAAGGAGACAGAACCCCAAATATGGGGGACCTGCTTGTATGTTCCTTCTTCTTCGCTCTCTCTCACTGTCACCATCTGCCTCCCTCCTTCCTCCCTCCCCCCTGCTGGTTAGCTCTTCAGAGGTTCTGAGCTTGGAACCAGAGGTATTTCCTGTCGGCGCTGCCCGTCAGCTCAGACTCACCCTCCCTGGTCTAGTCAGGGAGGCCAGTACTGGG